GCCCTCTCCTCCATCAGTGCCGGGTGTCCGCGGCTGTGGCTGCCGGGGTTTCCAGGGCTCCCGACCGCGCTGCTTGCACACCCGTTCGGCCCCTGGGGCACCTGCGGCGCCTGCGAGCCTCGCTGCCGGTCAGCACCGGCTCCTCGGACGAGTCATCCGTCGCCCTGCGGGCTCTGAAGGTCCGCAGCGAAGCAGCGGGCAYAGAACGCAYCAGTTCGGYTCTCACAAACTCTCCCAGCTCCTCYTGTGGCAGCAAAAAGTCAAATAGTCGGCGGTGTAAACGGGCAGGTACGTASAAACGTGAGATATGTTCTGTTAATGTACAAATGTTTATAAATATACACGCGTATACGGTATATACACACATGTATGAGAGAAAAAAATGTTTGTACAAGTTTTGTTTTACTTAATTAAAAGTGTAGGKTTTTTTTCTCTCTATATAAAGCTCTTTGAAGTTATAACTACTGCTTGAGTCTTCTGTAGTCTCGTGAAGTCTTTTTGAGTTCGAGTGGCTATAAGTGGTTTATGTGATCTCTTATTGCAGTTAGAAGTGGGATCAGCTGACCTGGGGTAAAGTTCTGGCTGTTTTAATGTTTCTCGTTTTCATACCATTCTCTTTATTATGACCATGACTTTTTTCACTTTATCCAGTTAAAAAAATCTGATGATGACTGCCTACAATCTTGGTGATTATTTAATTTCATGTACTTTCTTTATTCACTAAGCAAGTTTTTAATGCAAAGCAAAATGTAATTTTAATGCAATGCAAAATGTTTAGGATGTTGTTTTCTTATGTGTGTTGGAAAGACACTTTTCGTTATGAAATAAACGAATAAAATCCTATTTCCCCCCCATCTCTTTTAAYCATCTGTGTTAGTGTGGAACTTGCATATAGAGTAGGGGTGGTTTAAAAACAGCCATAAAACTAAATGTAGGGGTTTTCCTGGTTGAAAGTTTTAGTACATTAGTTTTGAGCTGTATAATATCTTCCCCAGGCTTTTGAATGTGTTGTAGCTAGGCTGAATCTCAGATTATTGTTTTTTCCTGAAAAATGAGGTTTATTTATTTTCAAAATTATTTGTGAAATGTCTTTACAATATGTGTCTTTATTGCTGTTTACTCTGAGAGCAGRTTGTGTTAGGAACAGTGTTAAGAGCAGCTGTGCCTCATCTAACCAGGTGAGTCCTTAGGTCAATTGGTCAAACCTGGGTTCCATTTTTATATCTGATTGCAATTGTTTTTTACCTGTGGAGCAGCTTGTTGTTCTATTACAGCAAATGTGAAACAGCTGGATGCACTCCTGAATCAAATCTATGGCTAATTGAAAAGCTTCTTAAAGCCTTCCAGCCCATTAGATTACTGATTTAATTCTGTCTCTGGAGGCTATGCACTGGTCTGTATCTTTATTAAAACAATTCATGTTATACTTTTTAAAAAAAAAAAATTCCTTGTTTGTTTGTTTGTTCTGAAGAAAAATCCTTATTTTGTTTTATCCATTAACAGTGATTCTGAGAAATGGACAAGAGTGATTTTCAAGCTTATGAAGATGAAATCCAGGCACTGGAAGAAGAAATTAGGCTTTTGACAGAAAAGTATGAAATTCTCCARCAAGAATCCACCTTTTTTTCTGATGAGGAAATCTTGAAGGCAATGTATGTCTTTTTAAAATYTGTTAGATTAATAGACTTCCTTTGTCAAAATTGTTTGGGATAAACCTTTGCCTCTATGTTAGGACTTTCCTTATGTTAATAAATATATACTCTGGGGATAAAATAAGACACTTAGATGAGTAAAGGCATCTTAKCTCACTTTTGTTGCATGTTTTTGTATGTTTCTTAAAATGAAGACTGGCTCCTTTCAGACTTGGTGTAAAAGCTGTGTCTACCTGGCAGTGAATGGAAAGACTTTATGTAGGTTGCAATTACTGTTTCCAGCAATGTAATCAGACTGAAATTTGACTCCTTGAAAACTGATTTGGGTCTGAAAACCATTAGATCCCATTACCAATGCCTTTTATTTAATGTGCTTGCTGTTCTGACATGAAAAAACATGCTATGTCTGGGTATTTTGTCCTTTTGATTTTTTTTTCCTTTTTCCATTCTAGAAAATCATTTCAAAGAGAAAATCAGGGAGAAACCAGGGGATATGAATCTCCATCAGACCTGAAAGCTCAACTTGAAAGTCTGGAAACAGATCTCTCATTTTTAATGAAATTTACAGGTTTTCAGTTCACGAGTCATTCCAAGAAAACAGTGGAAAAAAGTAAGCAGCTTTGTGTCCTTTACTGAGCATAGTGGTTGCAGTTCAGCTGCAAACCTATGTTCTACTTTCACCAGTAGCAGAAACAGTTACTTTGAAATACAATAAGATTGTCATTGATTAAATTGTTTGAGTAAATATTGTATTTGTGTAGTGGGAAAGTAGAGTTAGTTGTTGGGGGTTTTGAAAATGTTAAACTTCTTTACARTGGCACTTTAGATGTGACTAAGGGAAGAAATGCTGTAGTCATTGAATAGAATTGTAATTGATTGTTTTGTTAACTTGATTTTATAACAGCTACAAACAGGACAGTGCAGAAGCACACATTATCAGGGAAGTGTCACTCTCTGCCTTTTCACTTGGAATTCCAGCTTCTTGAAATGCAGGTAAAGTTCARTGTATGTTTGAAAAAAACAACCCAAACTACCAAGCAAACAAACAAAACTTAAAATGGACAAATGTCAGTACTTTCTTTTCCAGCTGCAACCTTTAATGGCTTGATCTAAGKCTTAGTGGGTTGTTTTCATTCTAACATCTGGACCCTAGTTTGGAATTCTGTGTGCATCCAAGCAGGGGAGTTTTGAAGGTCAGGTTTAGTGTTCAGCCACAAAATTATTACCATAGAATTATTTAGGTTGGAAAAGAGCTTCAAGGTCAAGTCCAACAGTTAACCCAGCACTGCCAAGTCTCCATCACTCTTGCTTCCCAAAACATGCTCCCTCTATCTTTCGATGTCTGTGGAGCTCAGAGGGGTTAACTGGGTCTTAAATTTCCTGCCAATAGCACTGGTGCTTAAAGCCATTGCACCACTGAGCGGCAGCACTTGGCTRCCTAATGTGTAAAATTTCGGCTACTTCAGTGCTGATGAGCTCACCAGAGTGAGKGAGATGGGGAATACCAGGTGTCAATAAAATTTTTAAAACCCCATTTCCTTTGGAAAAGTATAATTTTGAGCTAATTTTTGTAGTATTTTTTTTTTTACTAGAAGTACATTGTATTCAAAATAACCTGCGTTGACATTAGCATGGGTAAGGTAGTGCACTGTTKCAATCAGTTTCACCTGTGTTGAAAAGTAAAAGGTGACAGCTGCTTTTGGGAAATGCCCAGCACATAACTGATCTGTTGCATGCATCAGAAGATAAGGAATCGTTTTTTTCACATGGTTAAACTGTAGCTATTTATTCTAATAGTGAATTCACAATACAATTAACTCCATAGTAATAGGTATTGGAGGGGGACATGTACAATGAGCTTAAAAATTGGCCAAACCAAGTTGAAGCCTCTTGAGAAAGCTGACATTTAAAAAGAATTGCTTTCCTGGCAGGAGCATTTCTTTTAAATCTTTTTATTTGGCCCCACAATGGCATTTTGGCACATTAGTAACCCACCCATTGGCAAACCAGTGCCTTCGGAAGGTGGCACATCAGCTYGTGACTGCTGGCAGTTTCCCCACTACTCCATCCTCCTGTTGAACCTTTTGCTCTAAAGCTAAAACCATTTTTYCTGATGGGATTTGGTGCACTAACCTTTGTAGTGCCTTGCTTTGCTTTTCCCAWCTTGAGTGATGGCAGTGTGAGCAGTGCTTCTGTCCAAGCAGTACAGGGACTGTTGTGTGTGCAGTTAACTCCTGCTTTCCTCTCTTGCCATTCCTATTTGCTTGTAGTGACTTGGTATAAAAAAGTTTCAAGTGATGCATTTGCTATAGTCCTCAAACCATGATTTTAAGCTTTTTCATTCACTGTTGTTAACTAATCCATTWCTCTGGTATGTTTAAGAATTCATGGAAAAGTGAATTGAGTTCTTTTCTGGCTTCATTTTTACTCTGACCACCTTTTCTCATTCTTTGACAGCTTATTAATTTGGAGTAATTTTATTATGCACATATTTCTAAGTAACAGTAGTATAAAAAGGGACAATATTTTGAGACAAAGCTATAAGGTTTAAAATTAAAAAGAAAACTGACCTAAAACTGACAGATAAAACCTTATATTGGAATTTTCTAGTATATGTGGCAGCTAAAGGTTGTGTTAAAAAATGAGAAGAATCTTAAAGAAGTGTAATTGATATGAAAGGAAGTAATGAACATTCTTTTGTRCATATATACTCTATGCTGACAAACTCAGGTATTATTTCAAAAGCTTTGTTGTGTGGGTAATTGTCTCCTGTTGAAAACAAACGTCACACACACAAAGCTGTAGTTTAAAAGATRCTATTTTAAGGATTATAGCATATAGCAACATTTACATAAACTTCCTTTTCTCTTTTATGTGTAAATAGACACATTTGYCTCCTCACTAGAGAAATTTCTAAAATGTTTTGTTGTTACTTCTCCAATCTAGAACAACGAGAAAGTGTCTGCTGTTGTTAGTGATCTCAACATTAAAAKGGAATCCAGAGAAGATTCAGATGTGAGCAAGTTTGTGTCAAGGTAATGTGGAATTTTTTGCTCAAGGAAAGTTATTGTGTGGGATATGGGATACTAAATGCAGTACTGAGTTTTCATGTAAATTGCTGGCAGTCACTGTCTTTATGTGATGTATCTTTAGCCCAACGTAAACACTTTCTATCTTTCATCTGTATCCTGGAGAGAAAATGAGATGTGTATAATTTTTAAGATCTGGAAGGGCTGTTACAAATGCATGTTAAACAGAGCCAGATTTTGTTTMTAATGTGTTTCAGCTGTTTGAAGAGAGGAGTGATAAGGTAATCTCAGTTATTGCATTTTAATTAACATTAATTAYTCTCAGATGTGTTTGTGAGCTGCAGATGTGTCGTGTGGGTAATGACGGAAGTGCACATCCAGAACCCCTCTCCAGTATTTGCCTGTTTCTGATTCTCAGCTYTCAATTCCATTTCTCATCTTGGCATTAGGATTTATTTCATTGGTATCTTAAAAACAATATAGTTAAAAAACCTGGAACAGTGTATTTGTGCAATGGCTTAAGAAAATTTATATATTAGAGCTTATATATATGAATTAATTTTTTTWTTGTTTTCTAGAATATGCCAACCTCTTCTGGTAGCATGATGAGTAAATAATCAAATTATTTGTCTGCAGTATTCCACTGATTTCTGCTAGCAAGCTGTTCTGAGAACWAATCTATTATTACTGGGTCGTTGATTTAATCTTAATCCTGTTTTTAAGTGGTTTCTTTTGTTTTTGATTATTTTTTGGATGTGGGGAGTGGAGAGGGAGGGCCAACAGATATGTGAAGAGTCTGTACTGAGAACTGAATTTTTTACTTGAAGGCTTTGAGATTTCCATATAAATCTACTAAAGCTAGTGGTATAACTGGGAAAAGTAGTTGACTGCTCTCAAGTAGTGGGATTTAGAAAAGGAAATTGCCCTGGTTTATTCATGAGTATTTTATGACAGCAGAAGTGTATTGGAATTTAATAGTCATACTGGAAAGAAATGTGTTGAAGTAGTGGCAGACTTGATTTCATCCTGGCTGCAGCACTGCTGTCTTGTCCCTGTCTCTTCTCCATTTTCACTTTGTGCCAGTATTCATAAATAAACACAAGTTTTTATGAATGACAGAAGATGTGAACAAAGTAAGCAGTACTTTCTCCCAAGCCTCTCTCTGCACGTGCCATCTGYTGGCCTTGTGTCTGTGGGTGCCCTTGCAGCCATGTGGCCAATAGCATCACTGGGGTTGAAAAAATACTCTGGGGGGATGGGGAACAACCCAGCCTTGTTCCTCCACAGCACCTTCAGGTTTCATTTTTGTGACTTGTCCTGGCCACAGTGTGCGTTGCCAGTGTAAGGCAGTGARTACCTGGCCAGGGTGGGGCTGATGCTGCTGATGCCTGTTTGAGAGCATCTGTTCCATTGCCTGCTTCTGTCATCTCCCTTTAGGGCTTGTTTTCTCAATCCCCTTGCTAGGCTAGTTCTCATTTCTTTCTCCAAGTTGCAATCCCCTCGTGTCCAGTTTCAGACTTTTCCCAAACAGCCCTTTGTTCTTCACTCTGCTCCTAGAGCCTTGACTCCTACCTCTTGCCTCCTTTTCCCTCCATTCTTGACCAGCRAAATCTGGTCTCCTGCTGTTTTGTTAATTTTCAACCTCCCTACCAGTTTGTTTTCTTCTTTTGCTTCCTCGGCCCAGTCTTGCCAAATCCATTGTCTAGTTCTGTTCTGTTTTGTCTCCCTGGCTGGATTTTTTTTCCTCCCCAGTTTTCTAAATCTTTTTGCTTCATTTTTTTTCATAATGCATGTCAGAGAATGATCTTTACGAGCAATAGAGTTAAAAACTTGGCATTCAGTTCCTGCTTTGGAAGAAAACTGGGGAATGCTASAACACTTGAGTAATATCTTTTTTAAAAGAAGCAAAAGTTAGCAGTCTACASGTACTGCTGCAATATAGAAATGGTACATGTTTTAAAAATGGGTATATTTTTATGCAATTTCTTAAATATTTGGTGACAATAAGAGATGTATGCAAATAGAATCACAATATTTAGTTTTCCTCTGCATTGTACTTGTGTCCYCTTTGCACCAGTTATCATTTGAGTTATACTTTACTAGTGTTGAGCCCCACAATACGTAAGGAAACTCTTGTCAGTCCTTTTTCCCTGTTTTTAACTTGATGCCCCATTAATTGTTGGGGGAGTTAACCTTCGYATGGATTATTTGGGCAAAAAGGAGTTTTTAAGCAGTCTGAAAATTGCTCTTGTCACTGACTAACTGATTAGAAGCCATAAGTCAGAGGGCAGGATTTAGGAACTATGCATTACATTAAATGCTGCATGGACAAGGTATCCTTGCAAATGAAGGGAAGCAGGAATCCTGCCCTCAGCTTTGAGCTGTGCTTTAGTTTTCTGTGCTAATGTAGGAACTCTTGCATTCTGTAGTGAGTTAAAATAGATTTCCTCTCTTAAAATAGCTAAAGGAACATATTAAAGGAGGCTTAGGTACTTCTACAATAGTTAAATTTCTTCTGTGTTTTGTTGATATTTTGTGAAAGGGAAGGGTGGTTTGGTTGAAGAGCCCATGATTTTACCTGGTAATTAATCTCTGCCAGAATGTTCTTTTAGCTGGTTTTGGATGACTTCTCTGTAACATGGATGTTGTCATTGGATACTGCTGTTTTCTGCTTCAAGTGGATTTTGTAAYGCTAAATTCATTCAAAAGAAAAAAAGGTCCTGAATTTGACTATCTCTTCTCTCACTGCCTTGTTATTTTATTTTATACCATATTTTCTTGGTATTTTAGCATTTTTTGTAGTTGACTTYAGCAGGAGTAATTAGTCTATTTTGGGTTAATTAGGAATTAATGTTTAGGGGTAGATTAAATGCTGTGAGACAGTTCACTGGTGCTCTTCTGCAGTCTCTTACTCCTTTGCCAATACAAAAAGGCATGGATTTACATACAACTGTTCTTGCCAACAGATTTCCTCCTTTCTAAACACTTAATTCAATTTTCTATCTTTAATCTAGCTAATGCTATTGAGAAGTACATACTCAGATATATTGGTTGACTAACTTTCACATTTAAAACTGGTTCTTTGAGCTTCTAGCCAAAACTTTCTCTATCTTCTTGATGATCTTGCCATGACAATTGGCATCTGCTGCGTCACCTGAAAGGGAATTTGAGGTAAAAAAAGAAATTAAAGACAAGGTCATAATGTTTGTGATAGTATTTTAAATAGCATAAAAGCAGATATTTATCTATTTCCAAAAGAATTTAAACTATGTAGTTTTGTAACAAAGCYCTGTGTTACCCTGTTCCATGTGTGGAGATTGAAAAAGCCCAGTGCAGTTTGTGTGGAGTCTGTTCTTCAGGCACGGAGATGTGAGCAGTTGTTACCAAGTCTCCAGAGTTCCTATAGAAAGTGTAGATTTTCATATGTACAATTTGGAATTGTGGTTAAAAACAGCTCCCCAGCCCAGAGCTAATGAGCTATTGTAAATTAGTGTGTCTGTGTCCTTCCAGGGACTCAGTTTTCCCARTCCTGCCAGCATTTTTTCAACTTGGCCTGATTTTGTTGGCAGCTGTGACTACTGTGGTAACTTCCTTTAATGATGCTGTTCTTTCCAGGCTAGGATAAAACTTGTTTGGCTTTTCTTTTATATTTTCAATATCTGAGTGACCCTAATGTATTTTTTTCCAGTTTGTTTGTGTAACATGTTAAGGTTTGCTGTTCCTGTATATTAAATAAAGCTGGATTGAAGGCACTGTTCTTCCTGAAAAAGCTGAAGGGACTTGGTAATATACTTTTGTAGCCATTCTGTGAATGCCTCAAGTCTCTGCTCTCAGCTGTTCTGAAAATCCAAAAAGAATAGCAAATCCCAACAAAAAGAATGTTAGAAGTAAAATTTACATTAGAATTTAAATACCCTAACTTTCTGAAATATTCCCAATTATCAGTCAGGTGTCTTCTTCAGTCAGGTTTTGTAAACTTTGTAAAGTCCTGYATTAGTAACCAAAATAAATATTTATACTTTCAAAGCAGTGCTTGCCAGATGTTTTGATCATGGCTGATAGTTTGCTGCCTTTGACTGTGGGTTTATATCAGCAATAACATGAAGCCTTTTACCCTTATGATTAAATAATCATGTACCTTCAGGTATTCTGATATGTAGTTTTTGTGGAATTTTGCATTCTGGCTCCATTTGTTTAGTGAAAACTGCACACCCTTCATAAGCATTTTTTCCCTTCCCCAACAACACTGGATGGTTGGCAGCCTGACAGTTTATCACCTCATTTTGTCTCTTTTCTTTTTTCCATCCTGATCCTTACATTACAAAAAAATCTGAAAAATAAGTGTTTATATCCATCTTTCCCTGCCGCTCTCCCCAGCATAAGAAGGACATGGACCTCTCAGAGCAGGTCCAGAGGGCTGGAGCCACTCAACTCTGAAGACAAGGGCAATTCAAGGTTTAACTGTTTCATAAAGCTTTGGTTTACATGCCCTGTGTGATCAGGCCTCCTTACCTACTGAAGCTGCAAGGCTAACCTTGAAAAGCTGAATGTCATGTGGGCAGAGGCAGATAACATGTCATGCTAAGAATTAGTTGGATAGGACAAAGTTTTTGGGACTATTTGAAGGTTACTGATGCAATTTGGGAAATCTTACCAGTTTTCCAGGTTCAGGTTTTACTTTGCAACATCTTAGAATTTATTTAGAAAACAAGTTGAACAAAAATAAAATGAAACTAAGGTTTTGCATTTTACATGTAAGACTAACACTATAAACACTGGTTTTGGTAATGTGTTCTTCAACTTCCTTTTCAGTAATTACGTTACAGCCTTTTTTCAGCTTGGTTGTGATTATTTTGGGTGATTTCTGGCTTCATATTCAAACAATACTGATCAAATTAAGAAACAAGGTGTGATTTTTAGGCTATAGAATTGATACATCTGATTAAGACTGGGTTAAACAAKGTATTTTTGCTTTATAGCATTGAAGAACATGCAGATCTTCTAAAGTTCTTCAGAAGCTTTTCAACTTACGCTGAGTGGCATGAACATCGTAGACGCACCTTCCTGCATTTCAAGGTAGTGCCTATCAAGCCTTTATTTCTTAGACCAAYATTTATTGCTTTAAATAGTTCATTAAGACACAGCATTGGAGGTGAAACTGTCTTTAGTAGAATATGGGATCTCAATTTTSTATGTATTGTGAAGAGAACATCAGCTAAAATTTTGTGCTATGCTAAACAGGCAATTAATCAGCAATGGYTGTGTTCCTCATGGGTGGAAGAAAATGATACTGCTTTTCTGCAAGGGAGTAAGGCAGTTTACATTGGTAGTACATTTTATTTTGATTTAAAAAAAAAAAAAAAAGAAAAAGAAAAAGAAGAAATTAAAAGAAAAGAACACTTGTAGTCTTTGGCACCTAAATGTTGATTTTGAAGGATTAGATCTGTTTCTCTTGAAAATGTGTTTGGGTGACAGCACTTTCAGTTGCAGAGTGTTTTACTGGTGTGGGAAACACASTGTTCCTCCCTCCTAACTAGAACATAGTATTTGAACTTGGTTTTAATCTATCGGTATTTGGCTTGTTTGTTTTGGCTTTGTGCTGTCTGTAAGATAAACATCTAATCCTTGGAGTAAAAATGCAGTCTTTCAGACACAGACCATCTTACATGATGCTTTATATTAGAGGAGGATGTTTAGCTGCTTAATCATTTGTGGTTTCTTAGCTGAGTTATGTTTACTTCTAGAATTTACTGTTGAACTCGACACCTTCTTTACTTTCAGCTGTAGTATCAAGTGGGAACTGAATTGTTTCCTGTTTTTTGGATCTTTCAGGCCTTTGAGTTCTGTGCCAGATTAATCTATTTCTATTATCAAATGAAAGATAATTGAGGAAAAAAAAGAGTAGTATTTTCTGATAATGTTAAGAAAAAACCCAGTCCTCAGCTGAGCAGTCAACTGGCTTTGTCTAATCCTGCTATAAGGGCTTTTCTGTAATCTCTCTATAGAAGAGATGGAGAACCAAGGGCATTAGGGCTTTGGTTTTTTTCCAGCTTCACTTGACGCTTCTGATCCTTAGATCAGCCTCATGATAAYAGTCACTGTGCTTTCTGGGACAGTGATTCRGTGAAATGTTGAAAATACTTMTAATTTTAAAACATAATAAAAGAGTAAAAAGAAAGGTTTGGAAACAATTTTTCAATTATTGTTATATAAGCAGTTTTTAAAAGTATTTGTTCAGATGCTGAGTACAAACAATGAAATGATCTACTAACYGCTAAAAGATGTGTGAAGATAAGTCACTGAAGACAAATTACACATTTGTCGGTATTACAGATATTCTTTCTAAAGGTGTTTTTATTTCTGTGGACAAAGACAAGGATAAAGTTGAAAGGCAAACCARTTTGRGAGAATATTTACCAAATATGATGAYTRTGTGCTTATGAGGATTATTGTAGGCCTTCTTATTTCAGATAGCATTACTAATGATTTCATTTAGAAAGAGAAGATATTCTCAGGTAAGAGACCTGAAAAGGGTTCAAAGATCAAATCTGATAATTCAAACAGTTGGATTATCAAGGAGAATGTGTATTTGTTATTTAATGGCTTTAGTAAATTGGGTGATAATAACTAGATGTATGTTGTTAATATACGCATAAAACCAACTCAAGAGTCTATTCTGTTAATATTCACACTCACACAACATAAAAAAAATGAGTCTGTCATCTTTGCGTTTATTTTTATCCCTAGCTGCTGTCTAGACTGCAAGTACATAGGCAAGTAGCCCTACATTGTTTTGGAAATCAGAATGTTTGGGATGGAGTCTTGGTTTAGAGCTTTTGTATTAATCTGTTATTTAAAAGAAAATTACCATGGCTTCTAAGGAGAAATAGATGTTGTTCCTAATACTTTCCTCAGAGTGTAGTGTACAAACACCAAAGGTAGGTTATTTTTTCTTTCCTAATCTGGTACTTGAGAAGAAAGGGGTAATGTAGAAGTGAATGAATTCTTCAAGTAATATTGAATGCTTTGAGACTAATAACAATTCCGGGTTGTGCTTTAAATGGATTTTGAAGGAGTAAATGAAGTGTTCCCCAAGTATTCTGTATGGCAGCTCTTGCTATTGTCACAACAAATACGTCTGTAAAATGGATTTACATCTGCAAATAATCCACTAATCTTGGTCTGCTGTGAGGCTGAACAACTGAAACATGTTTGCAATGCTGGAAGAGCAAATTGCTGAAGCTGGTAGTGATAAGCAAACAAAAATTCAAGTTTTATTGGAAATACAGAACAGAAATGAGTGATATGAAAAAACAGAACGGTTTATATTCAGCTTGATATTAGTACTGGTCACACAAACAGGAGGTGGAAATCCTCCCTGCTGAAGCCCTTCTCACTTTGCTTTAACTTGCTGTGAATGGGGAAAGTAAAGTGAAACACATCAGATAACATTAATTAGCATTACTGATGATGATTAGTATGCTTCAAAAATATATACAACTTTYTAATGTAAAATTAATAGTGTGGTACTGAGTAGGTCTTAGAATGTTTACTGTGTATATAGTATAAAAATATGCATATATTTTTTTAAGCACATTTTTGGTGATATTTACTTATCTTGTTAATATTGGAAAGATCTTGTTTTAGTAGTAATGATTTGTGAGGAGAGTAAGATCAGAGGCTGCTGCTTATGTAATATTATTGCACTTATGTCTGTGTTTTTTCCATCTTAGGCATTTATCATAAGAGGCATGAGAGAATTGATGTTTTTAATTTTTTTCTAGTAGAAATTTGGCTTGACATTGGAATGTATTTTTACATGCTTTGAAGTTGTTTTTTACATTTTGCAAAAAACCTGGGAACATCAAAGTTTTATGACTTATGCAGAAGAATGAAAACCAAGTACTACTGCCAGACTTGGTTTTGTTCTCAATTAAGACAATGAAATTTCCTTCTTGTTACACCAAATAACTTAAAATGGAAAAATATTGGGGATTACTATGTTTTTCTTGGGTAATGAGTTCAGGGCAAAAATATGTGTTCAGAATTAMGCAGGCATCAATTCCCTATAGCACAAGCACTAACAAATCAAGACTTAGCTAAATAAGATAAATAAAACTAATATAAAATATCTTGTAAAATCAGTATTCTAGAGTGATACRTTATCATGCATTTGATGCTTAACTATTTCTACAAATTAAGAACCTATACTAGCTTTAAAATTARTACAAAGTTGATGTGGTAATAGTAAGTAGCATGCCTTTGACATTCATTTGTCTGCAGAGTTTACACCTGCAGTTGGTATTTGAGGGGAGACACTGGATGTCAGAAATGCGTAGTTGTGGAATTAAACACATTGTGCTCTTTATCAATTATGTCCAGTTTTAGATAAACTGACTGTCAAGGCCAGCATATGTCAATTGGTGTTTTTAATACGCTGCATAGTCTAAAGTAGTTGAGTGAAACGATGCTTGACGTTAACTCTGATTTCAGATTAMTGGTACAATCAACTTTTCTTTTTAATTTAAACATCTGTTTTAATTTTTCCCTAATGATCGAAGTATTGTTGTCAAAGATAATTCAGTTTTTTTTATGAAATCATACTTATTTACAGGTAAATACATGAATTCAGCTTAGCTGTTATATTGTTATATATATTGTTATATTGTCACATTTCCCGACAAGAAAAGCTATGGAACCAAGGCTTGGCCTACATCCTTAGTTAATAACTAAGATATTTGAGTCTACTATGCTATACTTAGACCATTGTTTTAAAATGGTAAGCTGGTGTTGCAAAAACAGCTCTTGTGAGAACAGCTCAGCAAAATAGATATATTGTACTTAAAAATAAAACACATACGTTATTTTCAACACAAAATAGTAGAAGGAAATTTGAAACATCTTTGAAAAGTTTTAGTTGCTGAGTTGCTTGGTGTACTAAACTTAAATAGGAGTTACCATTTTCCACAAATCAAGTTTTTAAGGTAGCTTTAATGAATTCAAACTTTGAGAAGTTCTGTTTCTAAACATAACTTTCTCTCATATGCATCTTCATCCAATACACCTTTGAAGGTCAACTGAAAAGATTTCATTTCAGATTAAAAGAGTGGGACTGGAATTAAGAAGTATTGTTCCTCTTTGGCTTGCTCAAACAATATTTTGCATTTATCAGAAAGTAATATGTGGTGATTGTTCTGAGTTCTGGTAAAGAATGAGAACAAGCAGTTTTRTATTTTACCTAAAGAGTATGTGGTGAAATAAAAGTTGAGAAGATGTGTGTGCATATATATATATTTTTATGCTTCCATTAATAGAGAAGATTCTGAAAGCATGAGGGGCACTGTAACTACTAAAGTGACTGGTTTGAAACGGTTATTTCAGAGCAGAACCACGTTTCAACATAGCAGAAAGTGCTGGGTATGCAGGGAAAAGARCATTAGTAAGGGAGAGGATATGAACTTGTAAACAGAGGCAGAAATGATCCCTTGTTAGCACGCCTGGCTTGTGGCATGTGGATTCACATGAGCAGTGCTAGTAGTACGTTCCCACGGGCAGCATCCTCAGGCAGGAGAAGGCATTGACGTGCTTGGCCAGGACGACGGGATTGCCCTCCATCCTGATCTCATCCATCTGCGTGCGGATGTAGCGCGTGTTGTTGGACTTGCAGAACGTGTCATCCGTGATGGAGGTGATGTTGTTGTACTGCAAAACGAAACATTTTAATCAATAAACATATACATGCATATGTTCAATGCATTGTTGAGAAAAGTTTATAGTCTGTTTTTGCCATTTCCTATCCCTGATGTGCAGAAACCAGTAATCAATTCTTGCATGGGAATTAGCAACTTCTGAACTTTTGGGTGGTTGTGGCTTTACAGATTAGAGGTTTTATTCAGAGGAGCATTGGAAAACCATATTAGGAACTGTTTTAAAAGAGAGTGAGTTTGGTTTGAAGTGTGAATTACTGAGGCTTTTCCTAAGAGAATGTTAGAGAAATCGTTGGGGGATACCTGAAGGTGCAGAATGCGTAGACTCTCTGGTAARTTCAGGGGAACAGATTCCAGTGCGTTGTGTCCTAAGTAGAGGTAGGCCAAATTTGTGAGCTTCTGTTAAAAAGAAAGAGAGATTACTAAGGCTGGTATTACTTGAGGTGAAGTAACTCATGCCTGTTACAAGACATCAGTAATTTTTTCTGATTACATAGCCTGTAAACTGATGTTACAAAAAGCATTCTTGTGCTGTAAATGTTGAGTTCTATTATATAAAAAAAATCATAGAACAGGCCCTCTGTGTTTGGGAAATTTCAGTGTCAGCATGTTGGTTACACATCTTGAGACCACTATGAAAAACTATGTATATGTATTAGTAATATTTCTGTGGTCCTCAGAACTGTGCTTGAGCCATCAATTTTTGATTTTTTTTTCCATGTAAGAGAGAAAGGAAGTAGGTGAGATATTTCATAGAAAAATCTTTTATACAAGAAGGAGAAAAGAGTCAGTGCACAAAGAACTGATACTCCAGAGTGCCTTAAAAGCAAAGCAAAAGCTGGAAAGTTGCTTCATCATAGTTTGCTTCTTAGATTTCAAAAAATACAGAAAAATAATATGGTGGCAGAGTGAATAGTCTGGTTACTAGTTTTGTTTAGTTGGGTTACCTAAATTAGTGGGGTTTTCCTTACCTTGAAAGCATTTGCTTTGATTCCTCTGCTCTTGATTCTATTTTGGTTTGCATTAAATGTTGTTAATTTGGGAGGTAGAACAGGAAGTTTTATAAGTCGATTTTCAGCAAGAGAAAGTTCTTCCAACAGCAGAAGCTTTGAAAATGCTCCATCTTCTATTTCTTCTATCCTATTTCCACTAAAATCAATTCTTCTCAAGGTAGCTTTACACAAAAGAAATGAAAATCTAAGCATTGACTTTATAATGACATGGCATGTAAAATGTGTACAGCTGTGTATGTTATACTGTTGGCTGCAAAACTTAAACTGTAATCTACAAATGCACATACTATTAAAACACTGGTAACATTGACTTTTGGATTTTATCATGGCTTTAAATTTAAAAAAAAAAAAAAAAAGGGAAACACTCTCCATCCTCCTTTTTGTCTCAGAGATAATAATACAATTTCAGATATCTCACTCTACAGCGTAATAAATTCTATGAATATCTGGGAGAGCTGTCCCTGGATCTTTTGAAGGAAAAATAATGCCTGGTTATTTAAGACTGGCTGGGATGCAGAGTTGAATTTTATCAGAGCAATCTGTTCTTTCCCAGATTGTTTTGGGTGTATTAAGATCTTTCAATGGAAATTGGGGTGTCACTTACTGATGTCAGCAAAGTCGGAGGCTGCAATCCTCTTGATCTTGTTGAAGCGAGCGTACAGATAAGCGGTCTCCTTGGGCAGGGGCGGCACGGCCTCGATGTCGATCTCCTCGCAGTACACSGAGCCGCTCAGGCACACGCACAGCAAACACGTGGGCAGGTCTGACAGCAAGGCGGTTTAACACAGTTACAAATTACTCACTTAAGCTTGATYATTCAAATTAGAGTTTTCTCTAGTATCTTTCAAAATTTCCCATTGTTAGATTTAAAAGAACTATTTCCATCAAGTTCTGAAAAGGTTTAATGCTGGGGGTTTATGTCTTTTTATCTTTGTGCATGATTTCCCTATTTCTGTGTTCTTACCTGAGCATGTGAAATATTCTTAATCAACATGAATTCAGTTTAAGCCTTTAGCTGGTGAAGAGTATGGTGACTATGACAGCTGCAAGTCTGTGACCATGTTCAATATCACATTTGGAATCATTCTTTAGGAAACTGAAATCCACAAGGCAAAACACCTGGCAGTGCACACAGCTGGCGCTACAATTGCMYTGGAGCATTTCTGACAGGTCACACATATTATTCTGTGTTATTCCTAGCCACTATTTTGTCTAAATCTTTTGATAAAAACTCCAGCAATTATGTGAATACATTAAATATATCTTTATAGAACTGTAGAATGGTTTAGGTTGGAAGGGACCTCAAAGGTAGTTTTGTTCCAACCCTSTGCCACAGACAGGGTCACCTTTCACTAGACCAGGTAGCTTAGAACCCTGTGGACAATCTCTGACAGTTTTTTACTGTGGTATTTTTACAGCTGTTGTTCTAAGTGAAGAGAGAAGCTTCATTTTTTTAATGCTGTTTAAGACCATTATGGCTTGTCCTRTTTCTCCTGGACATTAGTAAAGTATCAGTAATTTCTGCTTTGCTTTAATCTTTTATGCCAGCAATATTCAAATGCGTATAATGAATGTGGCTTTGAATGAATGCAGTTTTGTTACCACTGTTGTGTCCTGTGCTGTGTTTTCTGTATTTTGAGAGTTGTAGTTGGCTTCCACCCTGGTCTGTCTGCAGTGCAGACAGCAGGGTCATTCCACAGGGTAGTTGTCGCTACACAGCAAAACAGGACCTTCTGCAGCCAATGAGGAGTTACAGAAGCAACTGGTCAATACTGGGAAGCCAACCCAATACATATAACAGTAATTTTCTTGCAGCAGCACTGCAGAGAACAGAATGAAGATTTAGAGGCTTAGCTTTGTGAATATCATCATTGTTAGGCTTCAGAGTTCTGCTCCCTTTTTAATTTTTTTTATTTATTGGCTTGTTTTTTGTATGTTCTTGTAGGAAATGGAAAATATTTGTCAAAGCATGTTGTCACTCTTGAAAAGGCAGCAGTTTTTATGCTTGTCTGTCTAGAAGCTCTGATGTTCTTGGAGGCTTGTTCAGCTTTTGATGGGGGCTTGTTGACAGGTGCTGTTTGGCAATAATTAATCTTAAAGTTGCACTTCGTTGTAGATTGGTAGTCCGYTAGTCTTGCTGAATCATCAGATATTTTTGGAAGTTTGGATCACAGACACACAAAAGAAGTGTCTTTTTCTCACTGCTGTGTTTGGCAGAGATACTTTGTTCCTTTCATGCGTAGAGAATATCAAGGCTTGTTCAGAGAAGTCTGGACAATGTACCTCAGAGCCTGGAGAAAACTAGTGAAGAATGTTCCTGATGTATTTTAAACATTGACCTCCCTGATCCTCAGATGTGAACTGTGAGAATAGCCYCTTCTTCAAAGAAATCTATTGAAATCATTTAAGCACATTTTATTTGTCATCATTTGGTTCAATTTTGCACTTATTGGGGGGTGTTTTTTGTTTTTCTTGGTTGTCTTGCCCAATTTATTTAACKTGGGCACATCTCAATGGCAAATATGACTGGATAAGTCTGTAGGGATTCTTACAATATGTGCTTTGTGTATTCAGTTTACCTGAGGATCTTTTAAATCTTTCAGCCTGTTCCATCAGAAGTTAGGAGATTTTCCACAGGAGATATGAAAGATATTCATAAATGAAAAKATTAATTCTATAGCGTTTATCATCCTTTGCACATTAGATTTGCATATTAAAAGATACTCTTGGATATCTTAGACATGACAATATTTGTATCAGTTAACTTACTTGTGTCCTTTGTAGGTGGGACATCGAGTTGGGCGTCATCTCTTTGCATTCTTAGGGAAGTGTCAAGAGAAACGTTTGTTCCATCCTTTGTAAGACAGCAAATGTTACTTTAAAACACAAAAAAAGGCCCAAAAAAAAGCCACAGAGCATTACAAGGATCTGAAATAATGTCTTTTAAAAGTGAGCTTCCTGCAACGTAACTCCTTATGGCAGTCAATKTTTACAATGTTCTTATAGGGTGGATGACTGATGTGGTGCTTTATCGCTTTTACACATGAACTGTTCACTTTGAAAGGCAAAAGAGCAAGGTGCTGCCAGTGCTCAAGTTCTCTAGGAAAGGACAGTAGACACAAAATARAAATTGTAGGCTACATAGTGGGAAGGAATATGTAAGTGGTGGGTGTTTACAAACAGTGGAGTTTTGAAGATCAAGACTTTGCATATCATGCAGAATTCAATAGGACTCYTGTGAGTAAAAGGTGGGTTTTGTTGTTGTTTCACCCAGATAACCTCAATAAAGGTGACTGAGATATCCTTGCATTTAAAGCTATTCAGAATTCCTCCTGGAGACAACCWTTGCATCTTTTCAACTGCAGGACAACTTAGTTTATAAACACATTCCTTGCAGGTATTGGCTGAAATTGAGTAATTTGTTTCCATGAACTGCATGTATGTCTATTTTAAGGTGTGGGCTGCTAACAGAAAGGGCTTCCAGTGATGCAGGGAATAGTAGTCAGGTTTTGATTGGATACCAGAAGAATTTTAGAGAATTACCTATTATTACTATAATTACGGTATAGATACAGTGGCTTATACTGTGATTTGCATGTATTAAAGTTTATGGGATTTCAGGTTGACTGTGGCAGTTGTTCTTGGTTTACATCATTTGTTTGGGGTTTGGTTTTTTTTGATGGGAAATATTTGTAGGACAAAACAAGACAATATGTTTTTTGGTGTGCATGGCTATTGGAAACACATGCAGGAAAGAACATTATGAGATGTGGAAGATGTTTTGTTTTAAACGTGCTTCAGGATCAGTCCCTGGCAGGAGCACAATGCTCTGTTGGAGAGCTGCTTGCACACTGAGAGTACTGACACATGAACCCCTCGTAGTTTTTTTTTTATCCCCCCACTCTCCCCTCCTCCAGGCACACAGGTAGTTCATCTGTAAGAGCTTTCAAACTACTTCTGATACTGTGTTTTATTTGGATTTGGTTGCTTGCGTATACTTCACTGTGGGAATTTTTGTATTCTGCAAAACAAACCCCTCAGGCTTGACAGAAAGCCTGAGAAACAAATCTCTTGGCCRGCGTCTGTCATTTTGACCCTTTTTTAGCCTGTGAATCATCCGTCCCTTGGCTCTTCCCTGCGTCTGTCTCTCCAGTCTCTGGCTCTTGTTTGGCTGGGATGGTTTGCCCTGCTGAAGTTTTGGGTTCTCAGTGAAGATGCTGGCAGCAGTTTGGCCCTGCTGGGTGGAGGGAAGCTGGGGCTGTCAGCTCAACAGCTACGCTCGAGCAAACAGCAAATCTTCCAAAAGCTTTCTGCACAAGGATTTTGTTCACTTGGATAGGTTGATTAGGCATAAAGATGTGGACCTTGAAGTGTCTGTGCCAGGACAGACTTCTGAGTGCATGGACTGGTAATGAACAACTGCACTTGGATGGCTGCAGCTGRTTTGGCTCCTGAGGGACACTTAATAGCATTTGCTGAGGCAGCTTATCTGTCCCAGGTGAGCATTTCCAGCACAGTCCCCTAMTGGAGCCATCAAAGACTCTGCATGGGGCTTCTTAACAGAATGCAATGTACCACTGAACTCTGCCAGTGGGAAATGTCACAAGAAATAAAAACTGATAATTTGCAGAATACCATTAAATTCCTGAAATTAAAAAATGCTTTCTGATCAGCTATAAAAATTCCGAACCATGGAGTACCAGTGCAGAAATTGTTTGGATTATAACCTCGAGTTCATTACTTGCTAAGGAATGCACTGAAGCAACTCACATACTTAAATTCCACCTGCCTCTTGCACTTTACTGCACAGAATTACCCATACAAAGCCACATTATCACTTTACATCTAAATACTTTAACCATCTTCAAATTTCTGCAAAATAATTGATTCATTTTATAACACAAAGGTCTGTAAAGCTGGTAGTTTATATTCAATTAAATGAGTTAGTCCAGATGTGAGACAACATCTAATTGTGTTGTTCTGTTCTTTCATGGAAATTAAGATTTTGTGTTTTAAATTGCTCGCATTTTATTCAAAACTGGAGTGCCTGTGGCTTCAAATAATCCTAGTAATAAATTTCTTCTGATGTTTTTAGTAAGTCTTTTTTCTAACTTCATGTTCAAGCATACAGTAAGGAGTTAAATTTGTTTGCACAATAGATTTTTGACTGGGCATGCTTGAGGAAGTGTTTGGCACACATTTCAGTTCCCGTTAACACTTGGAATATTCAGGGAGTAGAATTTGTGCAATGAAAAAATAGCAGATCTGTTTGTGCACCCCATGATTTAAACTGGGAACACTGACACTTGTGTCGACGTAGTTGTTGCACATAAGGAACTCATTTATTATTTTGTAATAAAAACATGTCAATGGAGARCTGACCTGATGGAAATAATGACTGACTATAGTCCTAGAATTAGCCTAAGCACAACTGTTGGTCTTCAGAAGACCTCCAGCTTATGGAACTGCCAGGAAGACTTTGATTAGTTTGTGGACCATCTGGTGGCATCATTTCTGTCTAGGTATATTCCTTGTTGTTCCTTTACTGAAACAGCAGCAGTCTTCTGCAAACAATTTATTAATGAGTGTCATCTGCTGYTGTGCCTAGCTGGTTAAACTTAACAGGTTTAGTATTTTTCTAAAAAATTAGTTCTGAGTGGATAGTGATCAATTAGTTAAGAGTCATTTATATATTGCCTTTTTCATGGGTTTATGAAAACATTTACTTCATCGCTATGGCAGATGTCAGATTTAAAAAATACCTTCGACTTTTATATAAATATGTAGCTGTTTTAGTYGAACAGTGGAAAGCTGTATTTTATGTAGAACTGGGAAAATATTCCGAAGGTATATGCAATATACACAAAAAGTGATATTTGCAATATSACAAAAGTGATATTTCTATATTTGGGCTGTAGTTTTTTACTTGCTTTTACTGGGGTTTTTTTCTTGCTTATCAGACTAAGTTACTGTAACAAGTACAGTTAATATTAATGAAAACCTCCTTGAGCTTTTCACACTGGGCTCTTACCACTTGGTTTGGATCTGTGGTATTTTCCTTGGCAACTACTCTTGGGACAATCACTGCTGGTTTTTCTCCCTGATTGGTGCTGTATCTCCTTCTCTSGATGGGTATTGGTTAGATCTGAACAGAGCTGTGAGGTTTGTAACTGTCCCTGGCAGCTGAGGCTGTGGCACTTCATTTAATTCTCCCCTGGCTCTGTGTCTTGTGCTTTTATGTTGCAATTAAGAGGCAGGAATGTAGAGAACACAGCCCAAACRTTCTGTTTGGAGGTACTGCTGAGTGCACTGAGATATAGGGGATGCTCTCTTTACTAAGACCCTCAAAGTGTTAATGGTGTAGGGGAATCCTGCAGGACTGGACATTCTGTAGAAGTTCAGGAGTAGTGAACTGTTGAGTTGTAAAAAACCCAAACCACACACCCCTGAAAAAGTGAGGCAAGAAACTTGATAGTTTGGTAAGTCAAAAGAGGAACTGCAGTTTATACTGGCAGGTGATGTTCGATAAAACATGGGGTTCCAATTATTACTTTGGTATTTGAAAAAAAAAAATCACCTTTCTTGTATTCAAGCAAACTTACTGAGTACATACAACGTTGTTSAAACGGTTGAGGTAGTAATTAATTAATACATCCTATTCTTCAAATCCTTAGCATTGTAGCTACATAAGTACAGCAGARTTAGAGTGATGCTTTAGCCTTATTTGTGCAAGCCTGCCTTCTGTGGCTTACTCAGACTGCAGCAAGGGCAATATTTTTGAGGTTTTAGTTTGACTGGCTTTCCCCATGTCTGAACCCATTGTATGTTTTCCCGTTCTGAGATTTTTCCATAAAACTCACATGCATGCACATAACACCTTTTTCATATAATGCTTAGCAGTTGAAAATATTAAAATGAAAATATAAATAGAATACCTTTCTTATATCCTTGGATTTCATTTCATAATCTTGCTGGGTCAGGCTTCCCAAGGGAAGCTCTTCATCATAGTCATAAAACTGGAGTGATTCTTGCTGTAGAGGTGGTGCTGGATTTACCAAAGGTACAAACACAAACAAAAAAATAGTAGCCTGCAAAGTCTGCATTCTTGCCCAGAATAATGTATGTGGCTTTCAGTGAGCTGGTGAAGATCTGATCGTGCCTGGACTCTGGAGAACACTTTCTTTGGGACTGGAAATGAAAATGCAATCCATCAAAACAATATTTAAAGCCTAGAGGACTTGTTGGCAGGGGTTTCTAACAYATAAGGAACATGGAACAACTTTTAACTCTTGATATCCTTTAATTAGATTCTAACTTTTAAAGCCTGTTCTTAATCTGAGAAGAAGCTGGAAAACAATAAATATTTTCCAGCTAATAAAGTATTATCTTAATTGCATTTGCTTGTTTCCCAGTATGATATTTCTGTTAAAAGCAAGAGGATTTTGTAAATTTATGAAACATTTGGCATGTATGTAGGTGAACTGTTTAAAATGTGACAGGTTCAAATGCATTTTATTTGATTGATAAAATCAGGACCTAAATGCTCTATAACAATAACTTCTCATTGTCTTTTACTTTACATTTGAGAGTAAACAAGAGAAGATAACTTAATATCACTCAGTATTTTAGAGGTTGTGCACTTTTCAGGCAGGAAAGGAGAAGAGGCTGCAGCATAGTCTTTGAGACATTACAAATATGCATGCAATATTTTAAAAATTAAATCCTTAGACAGCATTTTTCTTCTCTTTACTGTCCTTTTATTTAAGCTCTAGGTTAATATACTTTTAGGAAAAATGTCCACCTACCTTTTTAGCAGATTCCAAGCTCTTCAATGAAACAACAGATATCCTTATCTGTAGTTACTCTTTTGTCAATGTACTTTAGGTTCAAGTTATGAATTACATCCAAATTGTTGAAATCAATACTCTCTCAAGGTTTGACAGTCTGAAGAGTGCTTTCCATGGGGTGAGAATGCTTTGCCAGCGTTCTCTCCCCAGGGTGAGAGGTAATATCCTGGAGGAGGGGGTTGTACTTTGCATAACATTTGCAAATGCTAAGTCTGTGTAGCTCATCCCACTCCTGGTGTTCCTTGTTAAAATGGCAACTTTCTGCTTTGTGGTGATTTACTCTTTAAAATTGCTACGGCTTTTTCTGTAAATCAAATACTATTTGTGCAAACTGGAGGTCTCTAATAAGGCATGTGTTACCCATTTTGTGAAATGCTTCGGCTAAGAGACAAAGCAGCTGCTTTCTGAGACAGAGGTAGAGCCAAAACACACGTCTGTTGTATTAGTCACATTTTGTGRATAGTAAAATTTTTCATTAGAAGTTGGGTATGTTTAGGGACATTTCAACTACCTATGAAATGGAAATTTTTCAGTCTGAAGAGTACTGGAAAATTCACAAAAAATACTCTTTGGAACTTCATGTGTTTGTGTAGAGAATTTTAGACAACATCTAAATGCTCCATTAGTTGACTTATTAGACAGTTTATTGGAAAATTGGTTTCACAATAAATACTTGCTTTGAGTAAAGTTCTGTTTCAGTTCTATAGATAATTCAGTAAACACTGTCCAGGTGTAGAATTTCCATCTGAACTATGAGCAGCAGTTTTCTGGATTTGTAATGCATTTCTTCCTCCCCCATCCTTTTCCTCATTATGAATTTTTGGCAGTCAGCACAAATGGGAGACAGATGACCAACATTGAAAGTTTATAGAGTAGTTTTCTCAAGTCTTTAAAAAGTATGTAGAAATAAAATCTAGTGGGAATATATCCAGTTGTACATTTTTATTGTTATACATTCTTTTTTTTTCTAGAGTAATATTGATGATAAACTGTGGACCTTTTGGTCCCCCTGTTTTTGTTTAAGTTTTCTTTTAAGTGCTGCCTTGTTTAGAAGCCAAATGTCTGTAGTAAATCTGCAGATTGGAGAGTGACCACAGCCAGTTCCTTTCTAAAATCTCTTTGGGKTTAATGCTACCAGTTTCTGAACTAGTTAGGATTTTATAAAAATATTTGTAGTTTAGTTAATATGCACATTTAACAACGGGATAGTTTGGGCTTGAAAGTTGCTCTAGGATGGTGCTGTAATGTTGTCACAGAGATGTGAAGGGAGSAGGATCAGTAATAATGGAAATTGGGCCCTGAATCCCATGGGATGCTCTTCTGCTGGAACAGTAAGGACACCAGGAGTTTGGAAGTGGTTAAATAAATTGCAGTGTCAGTACCATCRTACCATCCCTCCTGGCTTCATGCATGTCTGGGAAGTCATGACACAGCTCTGCTTTGTRCTGAGCCTTTCCAGCTGCCACCCCTCTGCCAAACATCCAGGTTAGCATTTCCTCTGCCTCTRGGGCATCCAACTGCTTTCTATGCCTGAATAATAAAAGGATAGCTATTCTGAGGAAGAGGAGTATTAAGTATTGAAGCTGAAAGCAAGATATAACATGTTAAAGATTTGTTGTATTCTGGTAATTTATTTTGTAAACTTACTAATCTGTAAGAATCAAGTCCCAGATTTCACACATATGTACACAGAATGTCTTAGGAATGGCTTCATCTTTTCCTTTTATATGACAGTGTCAAAAATGAGGGAAAATTACTACATAATTGAGGCCTTGAAAATGAAGGAAGTTTTCATTCAAGGAAACTCTTGTTTGCTTTGATCTGCAAGAGAAGAGGCTCCTGATCGTTAGATAACCTCAGAAACAGTTTCTGCRCAAAACATTGTGAAAAGTCTGTGTTCATCAGGCTGGATAACAAGATTTTGGTGGTGTGCTTATCACAAAAAGGTGGTGGTGTATGCACTCACTGCAATACAGGCCCTTCTCAGAAACTCATGAACACTTGCTTACAAATACAAAGAGTGAGATGTTTGGAGTTCATTTGATATGTTATCAATGTGTAGCTTACAGTGCCAAGTAAAGTAGCAGTCTTGTCCCATGTTTTTTTCTGCTTTGTCATCTTTTATGTCAGGGAGAAGAAAATATATCAGCAAATAATGTCAGATAAAACCATTTTTTATCTGAACATGTACCAGATGCTCAGATCAGCACGGCAATGGGGATGGTACAAGGGGCTGCAAACAAGCAAGGGGTGTATTGCTTTATTTCTGCTCAGAGTGACTAGAAACAACCACAATATCCMAATCATGTGAGATGAAAAATGTGGTTCATATGCACTGGCAGCAGAGGAGCTTACAGGAAATACCCTGGCAAGCAGAGAGTGCTTTCTAGGCACTCTTAGTGCTTGGAAATTGGATGTATAAGTGTCTGTTGCTTGGACTCTGGTAAAAGAGATCTATGTAGTTGGAAGGTGGTTTCTTTTCTGGAAACCTAAACCTGCTGTGCTGTTAACTCACTGAGCTCCAGTTTTTGAAGAGGGCCTAATAACATATTRGTGTGGTTTTTGATTTCCCCATGATAGCTTGTTTGCACCGACTGATATCCTCACAAAGGAATTTCACCTGAAGTGTTAGACATCTGAAATGGTTATTTGTACTAATTTTGTTGGCATGGAATCATGGCTTGATTTTGAGCAGTAGTCATTTCTCTGCAATTTTTTAAGGCTATAAAGTGCGGCTGAAGGTGTAAATGAACCACAAGGCTGCTTTTCTTGTAGTGGATGGAGCCCAAGCCAGTCTAACAGGGACACTCTGGATTCTGCTGTCAGAAGACTTTACTTTAGGTGGAAGGGGTTGCATACAGAGCAGGTGTAAAATTTGTTCCCCAAGGTTCCCTTCTGTCATGCTAGACAATCAAGAGTAAAGTGCTTTTTTTAGGAGAGAAAAGGTCAAAGATGGGTGGGTATGGACAGCAGAGATAGGAAAAACATGGGAGAGCAAGACAGAAATGAGGGGAACTCTCCAAACCACACGTTGCTGACTAAATCTTCAGCATCTGGGAAGAAATCTAGTATTTAGTCCTGTTTGTATGCCAATACAGAGTGGAATTCCTCTGTATAAGGCTGGTTGGAAATGACTTCTCCAAGGTGCCTGTGTRAATTACATGTGAGGAAGGGCTGGCACTGCCTGTATAAAGGCTTKTGGCTGTGCAGTGGGAGGCAGAACACTGGAAAAAGAAAAATGGGGAGGAAAAAACTTAGGGCCTTGTCTCTGGGGGATAGGTTAATAGGGCTATGAGGCAGCAGTAGGGGGAGTACYAGAAAGCTGCTATCAAGATATTCCTTATAGTATAAAGCAATGCTGAGATTCTTTTAAATAACTCAGGTTTGTTCTATATTTAGGCAAAGAAAGTGTGTTTTGCAGTTGCTTAAAGACCTTGGCTTTCACCTTGTATCCTAGTCTCYAAAGAATAATATTGGCTAGTTCTGTAGTTTGAGTTTTTACTGTTTGTAAGTGTTCTCAGGAAAAAGTAGTATGGAATATTGCTCAGCTGACTTGTGTGCTTATGGTGAACACTGGGAATCGTTTCTACAGAATGCTCCAAAGTCAGCATCTTCTCTTGGTCAGAAATTAGAGTGGGACAGAACAAGATGGGCACAAATTAGGAAAGGTTTTAAAGATTCTTGGGCACAATGCTGAATTTTCTTTTGTGTGTTATTTTTTTTCTCCATGTGGAAGGTAACATGTTTGAGGTCCTTGGCATAATTCTTGTGTGCAGTGTTATTTAAATGCTTCACAATGTTAACCAGCTGTTCTGGATTGGAGTAATTACAATAAAAAAGCTTTTGCAGAGGAAAAGACAGTTATTAAACCAGCCTGATAACAGGTAGAGAATCATCTGCAAGCAGTGAGACATAGATTTACTGTTAAAGTGTGCAAAAGCATTAAGTGATGTTAAAACTAAACTCGATGGTTCTATTTTCATTCTTTTGAAACCCAGAAGATGTAATTTTTTGGAATGTTTCTCTACACAAGTTTTATTTTCTAAAACACAGGCTTCTTCTGCTTGATGGTTGTGTAGGATTAATTCTACTTTCTAAAACTTGTATCTCTAGTGCTGCTGCAAAAATGTGTGATGTAAAACCTCTCTGACTGCTGCATTCCCTTCTGCTCTTGCTTGAGGTCGTGATACAGGGGGTAAAAATAGTGTCAAGGCAGTTTAATACCAGTGCTTATGATGGGGTTGCATTTATTCTGGGAACTAAAAGTATCCCAAAGGGAGGAGAGAGCAAGCTCCTGGTTTGTTTGCTGGTTTGAGGACTGAAGGAGATTCTATAGAAGAGTTGTTGTGTAAAGCAAAGTATATTCCAACACAGCATCCTTGAGGGATGGAGGAGGGTTCAGAGGTAGTATTAAATGTAAAATAAATGTCATTGTGTCTGAGAGAGAAAACATAGATCATTCTTCAAGATTCACAATTGACTGAGAATTACCCGAGGTGAAATAGTTATGCATAAACATTTTTATGAAAAGTTGCAACAATTTCCAAGACTCTGTGAATTAAATTAATTTAGGTCACTGTTAGGGCCAGCAGCTGCACAATGGAGACAGCTGAAAAATGACCTAATGATTGTATGAACATCCTTCCATATGTTTCTGATTTACAATCAGAATTTTTTAAGGCTGAAGACATTACCTTTATTTCTTGCATTTCTGGAAAAGAAAAGCTCCTTTTATCAGTTACTTTGTTATAAAGGAATAAAGCACATYGTAAAAATCATGCACAATATTGAACAGAAATCAATAATCAAGAAATACAAATGATAACCAGAGCAACAGACCCCTGTTCACCCAGACYCCTCTGTCGAACATATGTTCTCTTGAACTTTGCTATGTAACATCAGTTATATCCTGAAACAAGCCAACCTACTGTACTGCAATTTATTACAATTTCTTAGAATTCCTTCCAGAATTGGCATTGCTTCCTTATGACAGTATCATCATTTGTTGGGAGCTGTTACTGTGTCCACTGGGACACTTGAGGCAGGGCCCCAAGAATCATTGGCCTTATCCATATTTTACTGCASAGTTCCAGGCATCTGTTCCTTGTGCTGTTCATGGCTCCTCTTCGCATTTATCTGTTTTGTGTTGTCATAGGGGGATGTTGCTTKATTTTCTTTTTTTTTCTGTAGCTAATGAATTAATGCAATGAATTAAAAGATTGTGTTATTATTTATTTTCCTTTTAAATTAATTAGGTTGCTAGAAATATAAATTTTGGGCAAAATGGTTTAAAAATGTTTATATTTGTGGAATTCTATAAATTGCAATTTAATTTATACCTGTAGAGTTCATACTTTTGCAGCAGCAGTGGAAAATGATGGTGAAATCTCTTTGGTGTATATTTTTTTAGTATTTTTGGTATTTGCATTTGGTGTACCATTCACTTAAAATCTGAAATAGTTGAAAGGTTCTCTAAAGTTAACAGAATGCATGTATATGTTAATRAAGCTATAAAGGTATAGATCGATCTAAATTCTGGTATATACTGTACATATATGTTATTAAGTACTTCAGTGAAGGAATGAATRCATGCATGTGTTCCTTATTCATAAACCCAGAGGTACTTGAGGGTGATAAATGTTAATTTTTTTTTAAAGGAGAACAGATTTCCTCAGTTACTTGTCTGAAGATCCACAACTTAATAATGATAGAATAAATTTTGTATCTACAAATGCGTRCAAGTTGTTCTCGAAGACTACATCTATTTTTAAAGTTGATAATCATAGCTTTACAATAAATCTTTGTCTTCAAAAGAAGTAATTTTWAAAATTTTCTTAATATATGAGTCAGTACATCAGAAACCATATATGTGAAGATCAGCTTAAAAAATAATTGAAATTCTAAGAGAAAAAAGGAACCTGCCTATCTTCTTAGAAATTCAAATCTGATTACATTGTACTTTAAGTGCAGGATAGCTAAAAAGACTATATAAAATTATGCAAAGTCTGTAGTATGATGTATGGATCTATTACTTGCAAACAYGTAATTTTGCTGTAGAAAATAGTGATTTATCCTTACAGCTAGAAAAGCTCTATCAGGAAAARCCACTGAAAAATAAAAATGGAGAAAAAAAAGCAATAGTGCCCTACTTATCTTTTCCTGTAGTTACTTGGATCTGTTTCTAGGCATAAACATGAGTTTAAAAAATGTGCATAGCTCAAAGTTTTCTTCAGGTTACTTAAAGCAGTGTTGATTCTACTTTGAAGCAGAATGCAGCTAATTGGTGTTAGCTGTGCAGAGGGATAGTCTAAATTAATAGTTAAAAAAGCCTGCAATGCTTTTCTTTGCTCCTGTTCTTCTTGATGAAAAATTCTAAATGAAAAGATTACATTACATTTCTTTGTGTCTTCTAAAMTAAAATGGGCTGAAGCATAGAGAAAATATAAATAGTAATGGTTCAGGTGTGTTAATGCACATCCTTCTCCCCAGATCCCAGCAGCTTGGTGGAAGATTGTTTATTGCCTGTGGTAATAATGAGCTGAAATCTCATTGGAAGGATTGTGAGAGTTGAGATACAGCCAGAGAATCAAATATTGTAATACAGCTTGTCAGGGCATTTGAAACAGTATGTTTGAGGCTTCACATTGGTGATTTGCTTGTCCAATTAGAAATTGGAAAAAGGAACATTTGTATTTCTGGGAGATGTGAAAGAACCTTGTGGAAGTATTTTGTAATCTTACTCTCTTGTTCTTTGCTGTAGTGTGTCTCTTTGCTTCTGCTGTCAGCAGTAGGATGTAGAACTAGAGRGATTTTGGTCTTAATCACTTGTTCCTATTGAATGTGACAGTGATTTGTATTTTAGTCATTTGGCAACTGGATCACTTAGGACATAAAAGTTTTTCAAGTCCATTTTCTTTCACTTTGGCTGCTCACACAAAAGTGAGCCCATAATCATCCCAGGTTGTGTGAACATTAGACTTTTATCTAATGCTCAGGTGAGGGCTCTTTGTTCCTAGGATTGTTTTTTACTACACCAATAACAGGACAATTACTGTCTTTGAAATCCTATCTCCACTTTATAGATGCATCTTAAATATCTGAAACTATCCACTTGTTCTAAGATGGATATGACTAACCCACATTAATGAAAAATTTCTGTATATACTTATTAGCAATGATTATTTCAGTGATAGTAAGGATGAGAATAGCTGTCTTCTGCCTCATGGTCTTCTTCAGTTTCTTGATTGAGCGTTTCATGATTGTCTTCTGCTTCCTGGAATTCCTCTGGTGTTAAAAACCGTCGGAACACCGGTGTTCTGAGCCGAGTGGGCCTGTTGACAGTGACATTTTGCTCTCCATAATAAATGGTTCTAATGAGAGGGAAGCAGAAGAAGGCGTAGGTGCTGATGGGGCTTGTGAGCTTRTTCTGATCCACCCGTATGTAGGTTAACTGATTGATGTTGAGTGGGTCCAGAGTTGGGCACATCAAGGTCACGTTGATGTCTGTAAGAGAGTGAAAAATATTAATTATAATTCTGAAAGTGGTTCTATTTAAGACCCATTATGAAGGTGATACTTATATTTTGAAATTTAAAATGAAAAATATTTTTTGCATGGTAATATAACCCTTCTCTGTGTTTTAAATCAGTTTTGTAAATGACAGTGGGACCAGTTTGGGTGTTTGCAAACTATAATATTGTGGAGGAAAGAAACAAATGTGACTACCACTTAAATTTTTTATTTGTGTTTTATGTGAATGGAATATTTTCGTAATTTCTTTTCTTTGTATGTTTTTRTCAGTTGCCAAATCAGAAGCCATTTCCAAAAAGATTTTAGCTTGTTATACGRAAAACTGATATTAATGTTTACAAAGAATTGCAAATTAGGGGTAAACTACAAAAGTTAAATCCTCTCTAATTTCAAATTGKTCTCAAGTGACTGAGGATGTGTTTATATTGCATCCTGAAGARTATGGGATGATATTCTCCCCACACTCCTCCCATGACCAATACCAAAATCCACCAAGTTTACCCATCAACCTACTTTCAATTTCATTGCCTTCAATGTACAAATGCTGCAGACTTCTTGGAATATAGAACACCTGTTTCAATTTGTTATGTCCAAGATTAAGTTCTAGAAGGTTGGGTAGATTAAAGATGTTGTATGGAACATTCTGCAGGTTATTGTGGGACATTCTTAGAGCAATGATTTGGGGAAGTCTGCTGAAATAGTTTTCTGGAATGTGAGAAATGGAGTTATTTTCAAGAGAGAGATGCCGAAGTGATGATGGCAGGTCAGGAGGCATAGTCTGTAATTTGTTGTTGCATAAGTTAAGCTGCATTAAATTTTTCATGTTGGAAAAGGGTTTTTCTTTGAATACTGAGTCATCAAGTAAGTTATTGCAAAGGTCAAGCATGGTCATGTTGGGCAGTCCTTCCAATGCATTTCCAGGTAGCCGGGAAATTTTATTGAAACCGAGGAGGAGTCTCTCTAGAGAGCTGGGCAGAGGGAATGGAAATTCTTCTAATTCATTGTGTTGTAAATGAAGTTGCACTAAGTTTGAAAGTTTGGCAAAAACACCATGGTCAATCATATGGAATTTAATTTTGTTGTGGCTGAGGTTAATTTCCCTTACAAAGGTGACATTAGTGAATGGTCCTGCAGGCACGGCTTCAATGTTGTTGTTTTGAAGATAAAGTTGTTGCACATGACTGGGGATGTTTGGTATTGTCTTGAGTTCCCGGTGATCGCAGTACATGGATAAGGGAAAAGCTGGTGGACAAAAGCATTCCCTGGCACACTCAACTGGAAAAGGGAAACGAGGAACTTCAACTTGGGTGTTTGGGTTAAAATAATATGGAAGCTGATGATCTGGCTCCCCACCATATTCATCCTCAAAATCATAGTCTTCATATTGGCAAAAGACAAAAGCAGCCCAGAGGAGGTGAAAGATCAATAGTTGGCCCAGAATTCCCATATTTAAATCTGTATATTGTGACCTGTTGATGAGAAGAAATATTAAGTTTTAGATAGTCATAAAGTAAATGACATAAACATTTTAAGAAGCAGCAATATATAATGAAGTAGAAGAATGCCTTTTTTTTTTTTGGCAACAATGTCTGTCACATTTCTAGCAAACCCCCAAGTTTTGATCTGTACTTCCACGTAAAGAACATAAATTTACTGTCCTTAAAGTAAACAGAGGTTTTCTGGTCTGACTTCAGACAAGGAACAACTTGTGCCTGTGCTGTGCTTGGTACTGAAGGGTACCATAACAGATTGTTTCTATAAAGAGAACATTGAAAGAGATTACTTGGAAATATTGTATATYACCTAAAATAGAAATTTACATGGCATTGCAAATTGTATGTTCTGTGATATTTTGTGTTGTTTTTCCATTTTCCACAAAACATTATTGACTCAGTACTGTGTGTTGATAAAGTGATTTTTCGGTTCCCAACATTTAGTGAAATCCAGTMCTATTCGTCCATTGTGCACTGCACATCATGTAAAATCTTCAGTGATAAGTTTTCTTTGTAGTCTTCTCGTGTTTCTGAAATCATATATACTTTATAAATGTGAACCAATTGACTTTCCAAGTTCCCTTCTGAGGTGAAATCCTGATGCTGTGAAAGGAAAATCATTTTGCAGGTCAAATTTCTGATGCTCAAAGCCAGTCTAACATTTTAGAGCACTTTATGTGGTCAGAGGAACCCTGTTACTTGTCAAAATAAGAGTTGTGTATCATGTCAAGCTGTTCAACTTAAACAGCCGATGAGTCAAAATGTTACATTGCAGGTCAAACCACAGAAACCATGGAAAGGTTTAAGAGACTCAGCTCAGTACAGTACAAGAACCCTGAAGCAGAGAGAGAAAAACAGATTTCTCCTTTTTTTTCCTGTATGTTTTGTACCTAAGGGACTTTGTTTCCTTGTTAATCTCAGTATTTGTTTACTGAACRCTATCAGTAACAAAGGAGATGAGACTTACAAGTGGTCATTTCAGATGATTCCTAATGGTAATTACCTAATGCATGATGTATTCTAAGAGTTGAACAAGAGAGAGAGAATTTGAAGGAGAATAGTAGTAACAAACCCTTGGAATTTAATGCATCCTTGTAATCATCCTGTGTGGCACAGAGCCTGTGTGTCCAGTGGCTGGTGTCATCACGTGGCATTGCCTAACCTGCATAACTTTGCATTTGAAAGTAATCAAACTTCATAACGGATTACAACCTTGAAAAGAAATTCAGTGGAGCCAGTTGTTTGGAGCTCCAAACAGGCAGGTCCTTAGCAAAGCCAGGGACTCCATACCCCTGCAGCATCATGGGATGYCTGAGCTAATTAAGCAATTAGCAGAGTCACAGAGCAGCCTCACACTGCCTGTGCTGCCTAAATGCACTGTGCTCATAAACTGTGCAGACAATTGCTGGGCTGTGCTTGGGGAGGGATTCACTGGGCTTCAGRTTTCAGCCAGTGCGTGTCAGAATATCAGAATATCTTCTGATCTTCTAATCAGTCCTGTTGGTGTCTGCTCGTGTAAAATCTGTCTCTGACTCCTGTGACTGCCTTCTGGTTTTGTGGAACAGATTGTTACACATATGTCCCCCTTGCTCCTTGTTTCCTTTAATTCCCCCCTCTTCARCGGCAGTCCAGAACTTGGGCTTCACCTTCTGGTTCTATTCTTTCAGCACTTCTACTGCATGTCACAAAATTTCCAATCAATAATTTTTGTTCTTGGTGCCACAATTGTCCTTAAAACCAGGAGGAACAACTCTGGAARGTTGCTCAGTGTGAGGAATAAGGCCATTATGGGATGGAGCTACTTGCCAYGTGGACAATGTGAAGAGAACTCCCATCATGTCAGATGAAACGATAAATAAGAGGTAATATGTACCAAAGTCTCCAATAGGTTTTATGGAGAGAGGAGCTGGTTTTGTGGGGACCTTTTCATACTTTGGCTGTTGTTGAATGTCTTACTGATAGAATGGTAGCTGTCCTGCCAGGCTTGCAGGTCATGTCTCAAAGCACCGAGACACTGACACTTCCTCATGAAATATTTCTAAGAACTCATCTAGCTTTAAAACAGCYATGTCAAGTGAAACTTGGTAACAGGAGATGCAAGTCAGATGCACACAATATGATAAAACATATAATTGCAATGCTGAAAGAAATAGAAGATCTTAAAAAGCTCGATTCTCTACCATCTGTAATGAACTCAGAGCTCAGTAACTGTATTTGTAAGCAGTTTACTAGCTGAAAACTAAATATTATATAACATGCATGAATCACTCTTCACTGAAAAACAACACAATAGCTTCATTTTATTCCTGCTTACCAAGAAAACTTACTCCTTGGAAGTCTGAGAAGTTCAAGTTGTAGAGAGAAGCAAGTTCTTGTGCTGGTGAAATCATCTGAGACATAGCCTACCCCAGCTGGAGGAACAAAAGGTCTGCCTAAGCCACATTTTGTGGTGAGGAGCCTTGTGGGAAGGCAATACAAAATAATAGCCTTGGCCCCTCTTCTGATTTGCCAGTACAATTGAAAAAAACTGCTTTGTGCCACATCATCAYTTGCTGTACATGCTTTGTCATAAGGCTGTGAAGCAATTCCTCCTTTTGTTAAAATCGCTTCAATATAATTGGCAGGATTCTTTCAGTGTTACCAACTCCCATTWAAAAAAAAAAAMCAAAAAAACGGAGACTAAGTCCTTAAAAATTATTACAGAGGTTATTAGTTCATAGTGCGGGTTCAGTTGCAGTGATTCAGTTCTGCAAAGGGTTTGTCCTCTGAGGACGAAGTTGAGGAACAGTAAAAAAATTAACCTTATCAAAATCAAGAGGGAGCAAGTGTTACACAAAACCTCTTATAAGCGTCTTCTTTACTTTTTTTCTCTCTACAATGTCTGTGTCTTGTCTCCTTCCTGCAGAGGACTTGTGCTATACAGCACAGTTGGTGTGGTGGTGTTAAAGTTCAGCATTCACAGWCACTTTCCAACATCTTTTTTTGCTAAGTTGTAGAGAGCATAAATCTTAAAAAAGGGGCGAGTATGACAAGAACCATAAATCATTTTACTCAACAAAAATATTCATCTTAGGTTTTAAGAGGAATTAAACAAGAAAGGTACAGTTATCTGCCTTTGCTGCTATATGATACTTAAATAGGTCAAATATGCAAAAAATTGAGAAAATGGACAATTTTTTGTGAAGTGGTTTAAGCGTGTGATTTATCCAAAGCATTTAATTATGCTTTTGGTTTGGTAAATGAATTACATTTCAAACTCTCTTCACAAGGAAGAATCTGGTTCTTAAAAGTTCTTCTTAAAAAGTGCCTTTAGAAGTATGACGGGTTTTTAAAAATGCAGTAGTAAGTTTACTTTTTTGTCTTTGAGCTTTGTGAAGCTGATAATTTGCTCAACCTTTTGAAGTTTCCTCTTCAATATTGAGGMCAAGAATATGTTTAAAAAGATAAATCATACATTATTCTAACATTTAGGATATAAAGAAAAGCACCAGAAGTCATGACCAAAATGGTATTGTAGGAGTTGGCAATACTGGAACTAAATTAAAGCAGCCATGTATTTATTAAGAGAATACAGAATACAGTGGAGAGATTGAAAGAGAGGAATTAAAACTGCATAATCCTTGATTAATGGTACCACAAATAGTTGAATAGTTACATTGTACCACTAAATCAGGAAAAGTAATTATTTTTTTTTAGATAATTAATGAATACATACATAGGGAGAGATGAAAAAAACCACCATGTTTGCTATGACCAGTTAGTAAATGTTACTGGCTGCTATTGAGTTTGGGTATTTTTTAAACACAAAACAAAGAACATGTTGCATATTTTTGGAAGCTTTGTCCTAGTAACAGTTCTAAATAACACACACATAAAACTAGTTTTTCTAAAGGTAAAAATAAAAGTTTCAGTTTCATACCTGATATTTCTCTATTGTTTTCTACTACTGATTGTGTCCCAAAGTCTCTTAAGCTCTCAGGAGACCTAAAATCTCATGGTGCATTTAAAAAATCCATGGTGGAAGGACAGAAGAGTCTGTCCTTTGAAAAATTGTGGTAAAGCTCTTGATTTGAATCATATTGAACTGCAGAAGCTGATGCAACTCTAGCCATGGAATATATTAAGACTCAGTTCCTGTTTTGTTGCAAGAGCTTTCTTGGAGACAAACAAGTCTATACTTTGTGATCTTGGTCAAGTTGTGTGGTTTGATCTTCATTTTCATTTGTGGTGTGGCAGGAATTTCCTTACAAGGCGGATAATGAGGGGATTAAATTTAGCATCATTCATGTAAGACTTCTTGTTTCAAAGGTTGTGAAAATTTATTGAATTTGAAGCATGTTTTGTTTTCAGTTTTAAGAATGTTTCTTTTCAGAAGGACTTGGTTTTAATGTTGATTTGTGATTTATTTTCATCATTTTATTTATGCAGTTGTGATGCAAAGTGGGATATGCATCAAGCTAGAAGTCTGAGTTGGATTCAAGCTGATTTATTTTTAGCTTGGATCCTTTKCATTGATTAAAATCTATGGAATTTCACCCTTTCCAATAACTGCATTCAACTTATAAGACTTGTCAGCTTTTTCAGCTTTGTTTCTGAGCTGAAGGCACGAGAAAGGAGAATGTTCTACTATTTTATGAATTTAGGGGGTTTTAACTAGTTGAGTATGTTCAACCTAACACATCTGAAATTTCCAAATTTTAGTCAATATATTCTTGGAATAAAGTAGAAAAKGTTACCAGTGGCATTGAGGTGAATGCAGATGGTCCTGATAATAAGAAGGTGTAAATTACTTTAAATTACTTGGCCTTTTCCTTATTTTCATGGTCTTACTGTAAAAGACTCTTGGATTTCTTGGAGTTTGGTGGATTTTTCTTGGTAGGTTCTTTCTTCCTTTCCCTGCAAAACTTCTAATGATCCCATGAAGTATAAAGGAAAAAAAGTGCATTTTGTTTATAGAGGGTTTAGGGAACTCAAATKAAGCCAAGCTGGGGAAGTTGGACTTGAGGACTGTGTTGGAAGGGTGAACTTGATAGAAATGCAAAGCACTTCAGCAGCCTATCAGATGTTTGAAAAAAGGGCTCAAGCTCAAAATTTTAAAATCCTCAGTTGACAACTTTGAAGGAATTCTGTGTTTTAGATAAGAATTGGTGCTGTTTGTTCCTCTGAGTGGGTGCACAGTGAAAAAGGAAGTGCATAGTCAAATGTACCAAGGAACTGTGAAGGTTGTAATTTGGCTCCTTGTAAAGCCTGTGGGTTTCTGAAGTAGGAAGCAGCTGTAGGCAATGTGACTGAGGTTGGGCTGCACTTCAAAGTTAAATTGTAGGCACAGAAACTCTTGGTATCCCAATTTCCAGATCTTAACTGTCAGCCCAGCGCTGCTGTCAGCACTAACCTGCAGCCTGTGTGTGCTCCATGTATGATCTGCAAATGTGCTTCTTACCTGTGCTTCCCATCAACARAGGTGCTGGGTTTATTTATCCTGTGCCAGAACTCATCTGAAAATTCAGTGACTGCAATGTAGAGCTCAGCAAATGCAGATCCTGAAGGTCTTGTTCTTGCAGAGCCTGCAGCCCAGCCAAAGCCCTGTTACTGAGAGCCATCACAGGCTTGGTGGTGTTCTGCTCTTCATGGAATGGAAGCTCATTCCAGGAGCACTCCCCTGTAAGATGTGTGTTTTTCAAGGTTATGGAAAAGGGGCCATCAAATCATATCAACAGTCCTGCGGAGCTGAGACAAGGCCTAATCTGTTTTAAAAAGCAGAGGACAGAGCTGTGCCCTGTGTGTGGCTCTCTGTTGCCTYTGTGACCTGACCCTTGCTGTGTGGTCCTTATTTATTTCCCATTTAGTAGGTGTATTACGAGATCAAAACTGGCAATCCACATCTTGTGCAGCCTGTTTGAAATGCTTTGCTTTGTTTTTCTATGAGCTCCTGGGAAGAACATGTTGAGCAACTGAAAACAGTTGAGCTTATTGACCTTGTAGCATGGGAATTAATGTAATCTCAAAGGCAATTGTTGAGTAACTTCTACTAATGAGCATAATACACTGAATTTTTGGGGCTGAATTCCCTAGAAGCATCTAGAAGCAATACATTAAGAGGTCCTGATCTCATTAGATGATGGGTTGCACTTGTGCATGAACATGTGCTAGGAACAATTGGTATTGCCAAAACAAAGTATCATGTTCCTGCATGTTCAAATTTATAATACTTAAGCTTTTTGAAAGGAAGGGTGAGGGTGGTTTTTATTATGACAATATCAATTTACAGTAGTGGATAATTGACYTTGAAAGACAGACAGAAGAGAAGGGATCTAATATTTTTCTGAATACATTTCTGTGTTAGAAACCTTAGAAGGATTTAATATTATATTGGGAGAGGTTGCTTTTTTTAATAGATTTTACTTTCTACAGTAGAGGCATCTAAACAGTCCTCATCATGTAGGGTTTCTACTAACACAATAACAAGTAGTCATAAACAATTTACACTGCAMTAATAAAACAATTTGAAAATTGATATAAGCAATAGTATCTGGTGGCAAATAGTGTCTGGTTACTCTAAAATAGTCTGAACTGTTCTACAAAATTATAAATCTCTGCTGAGAGTCTCTGTTGTCAGCTGACACTTGTGTTTTTAGTAATTGAATAGCTTGTTTAATAAATATGGTTTGCTTTATACTGTGTATTTTTATACAGCCTGCTTTGGGTGTTCCAGGATAGATGGCTTTGGGCTGTGTTTTTCCTCCCATGTGGAGTTCTGGGAATAGCTGTCTGGTTTTGCAACCACTGTTTACTGGTGCAGGTATATTAATTTTCTTGAGGCAGCATTAGCAGTTGGACCTCAAACTTTAACAGAGCCTTTAGTTTGCCTGATTTRTGTCTTATATAAAATACAGCAAATATATAAATGGTCACAGTMTATGACAGGTGTCTTGCACTCACTGATAGATGTAAATAAAACTAAAAGAACAGTGTTTTGTAGGGGAGGAAAGTGAGGAAGATAATGGAGCTATTTATTTCAAAGGAGGCACTTCTACTCATTTATTTTGAGCAAAACTGCTGACTGTAGTGCCTGAAGGTGGTCGATGTCTAAAAGAGATTCCGTGAATTCTACTCTACCATTATAATTTATATTATTATCTTATTCATTCGCTTTGTTCATTCATTTATAGCAAAGGACTTCCTGCAATTTTGTTAAAAGAATTAGAAAACCTGCCTGCAACTTAAGGTTGTTCCCAGGTTTGTATCCAATATGAAAATCATATGTTTATAAGATTTTTAGGCACTTTTAGGCAAGGATAARGAGTAGTTGTCTCAGTTATTTGCCAGAGAATTCCAGAATGATCATGCATAGGAAAATGTTGTGCATTAACAGAAATTTTCCCCTTGTAGTGATGGAAAGTGCTTCCTATTTACCCTTTTGAGTGTGCTTAAGTGTGATGGTCCTTGGTTTTACAATGACTACAGAACGTGTTTCTTTTCTTAAATACCTGTTTCTGTAGAAATGTTCAAACAAACACCACTGTCCAGCCTGATAGTGCAGAGGGTT